TTGAGTTAGTCGGCTATTTGATTCACTTGTTCTTCGAACACATTCCTCACTGTAGTAGGCTTGTTTTATGGGTGCACTCTCTTCCGTGTGTGTGTGTGTGTGTGTGCGGTACTCTGATACTGCCACTTTTTATACTCAGTTATTTTTGCTTTTTCCTGTCACTGTGTGCTGTACACACGTCGGCACCGCTAATGCTCTAGGTAAATGCGCCGCTTGGCTCGTTGTCGTCGGCTAAATTCGTTCGCAGTTGCTTTTCGCCTCGCCACCAATCGCACTAATGTAGTCGCCAGCTAGCCTGCGAATAACTACGCCTGACAACTACCGCTACCGGTATGTGCTAACAATTGACAGCGGAACTGAACTGAGCTGGGCAGAGAATATTGTTCACCAGCGGGAGAACATGTGTAAAAATAGAAAATAGCGTTTAGCACAACGAAGTTGTGCAAATATTGGCTGAAAAGTGCAGCAGCTCGCAGGGTTGTCGAAAGGTAGTGTCGCCAAATGTCATCTCTTGGCATCTCGTATATCGTTTGTGCACCAACGCCAGCACTAAAACTACCCCTTTGCTTGTATAGCTCAGATTTCTTCTATTGCTATTTGGTACAATGCTTTTGCTGTTTGGGGGCTTATCGCTTGCTACTCTCTCCATTCGCTGCTGTTGTTGCTGTTTTGGTCGCTCTTATCAGTGTCCTCTACCGCAACACTCGCACACTGATTAATACCCTAATTCTTTCTCTTCTTCTTAACCTCCTTCTCTTGACATCTCTGGCAGAGCAAAGTCAAGGCTGGCACTGCAGCTCTAATCACTGGCAGTTGGTGGCACTTGTGAATGTCACCACCACCACTGCAGTGGTTGCCACCATTTTTTTCTGCCCCGTTTTTGCTTGTGAGTGTGAGTGTGCCTGATTTACGACACCTTTGTACTAGAGCTTTAGTGGGTGCCCTCTCTCAGTAGGTAGGCAGACAGGCACTGGATTGAAGTGCCCTTAACGTCCTTAACAGCGGATTAACAGCAATTTACCTGCTTGATTGAGATGATGAGATGATGAGAATGTGTGTGTGTTTGTGTGCGACTCTGTCACTGTCTTGATTGCACCACTGCAACATTACAAAAAGAAGTAAAAATCTAAACCTACTGTCAGTGTCACAGAGCAGCACCTCGCACTGAGATTGTGTCTAATTGCTGATAATTGGACGCATGCAGTGCGAAAATGAGTTCTTTATTAAGACAGCTCAGCTCTTCTCACTCTGCTCAGTGTGTTCGTTGTCGCTGATGGCGCTGCCTCAACTCTACTTTTATTTTGTCATGATTTACTGCTGGCCACCGTTTGTTTGGCGTCAAACATTTTTGGCGACAATGTCTTCTAGCAGTTGCAGCAGACTGCTGCCTGTTTACACGAGACAAAGTTCAAGAAAGCCTGCTCGCTTTTAGAAGATTGCTCAGTTTATTTTTACGTTAGGCTGGCAGTGTGCTCAACGGGAAGGGTGTGAAAGGTCGCAAGGTCGGCTTTACACTCGCTAACAAGAGGCAAATAGGCACTTACTTTAGTTGGCTGTGCAGAGTTAGTGTGTAGAGAAGAGGCTGAGAAAAGAAGAAGAAGTTGTGATTTGTCACCTTTTCACGATGTATTTTCAATGGGAACAGTAGATTGTTTGCTACTGTTTGTGCACTGGTTTTTTAGTTGGCAGTGGTCGTGGTGGTGGTGGTGGTGTTAATGATAATTGGCGACAATTAATGATAGCAGTGTAATTGCTCTATTTTTATCACCCCTTTTGCCTTGGTGAAATTAAAATGGTGCGTTTTACGAGATGAAGGTGCGTGGTAGCAAGTAGGCAGTAGAAGAAGAAGAAGAAGAATATCTGGACTCAGAAATGAAGTTTTTTTGAAAACAATTTTGGCGCAGCAGTAGTAAGGAAAAATCAATTTGAGAAAAGTCTAGTCGAGTTTTTTGCCAGTACTGAGGGAATTCTCGACTGCTTCTGCTTTTTTACTGCCGTTNGACAATTAATGATAGCAGTGTAATTGCTCTATTTTTATCACCCCTTTTGCCTTGGTGAAATTAAAATGGTGCGTTTTACGAGATGAAGGTGCGTGGTAGCAAGTAGGCAGTAGAAGAAGAAGAAGAAGAATATCTGGACTCAGAAATGAAGTTTTTTTGAAAACAATTTTGGCGCAGCAGTAGTAAGGAAAAATCAATTTGAGAAAAGTCTAGTCGAGTTTTTTCTCCTTTGCCAGGGAAATTCTCGACTGCTTCTGCTGTGGCTGTTCGTTGGACCAGCTGAGCTCTGATGATGCTGATGATGAGACAGTGTGGCTGCTTTTCTGTGTTCGTATTTCTCTAGCTGTAAAGTAGTTGTTGGCTAGCTAGGTCAGTGGTGCAGTAGTGTCTCTCTCTCTCTCTCTCTTAGTTGCTGCCTCTACTATGCCTCTTCCTCCCAAAACGGTGCTCCTGCAGTGCTGAGCTGATGGTGGACGCGGACATACTGGTGCAGGGCTGCTTAGCACACACACATAGAGAAGAACAGAGTACAGCACACAGTCAGTCAGTGTATAGTCAGTCCCCACCGATCAGACCTCTTATATTGAACACACACACACACACTTATATGATGGAAGAAGGAGAGAGAAAGAGAAAGAGTGGAGCAATGAGAGCTGCTGATTGTGCCTTCTCCTGCAACTGTGTCGTCCATGGTTATACGAGTACGGGCATCTGCTGCTGCTGCCACTGCAGAACCAGAGCACTGCAGTAGTTTGGTTGTACTGTCAGGTGCTGCTGTGTGGCTGCAACTGGAGAGTTGATGCGCGCGCGTTCCTTTCCACAGCGACCAAAGTGGACGGAGAAGGCTAATCGAATTAGTTTAGCCAGCAGCCTCGCATGGTCACCCACCTTCTATATAGCACACACACACACACACATTCCAGAAAGAGGTGGACAGCAGCATTTCAGCATGCACTCAGTGTTTATTATAAACACTCAGCACGGTCAGGGGAAAGAAAGAGGGGGAGGGGGTGTGTACACTGTACGCAGAGAAAGTGTCGAAGTGTTTTTGCGGCAGGAGTTTGGGTTTTCCCGCAAAAACGACACTGCAGCTTTTTGGCCTGCTATGACCGGTTGTCGGCTACTGTGTGCTTATATAGCATCATTCCAGCATTGGCCGGTGGTGGTGGTGGTGGGCACCAAAGTCATTTGCCATTCTCCAGTCTCTGTTCAAAGTTTAGGAAACAGAATTTCTGCTGCTGCTGAACAGAAGAGAACGAGAATGCAAGAGAGAAAATTCTGCACTTAGTGCGCCTGTCTTCTGCTGTAGCTTCGCAGCAGCTGAACAGTTTCCTTGTGTTTATTGCCGCTGAACTGAAACTGAAACTGAAACTGAAGCTGAAGCTTCGGTTGCTGCTGCTGCTGGTGCTCTAGCTCTAGCTGTGTTTAATTAAGGATTAGTGCACTCTTTGGTGCACTTTGTTGTTGCTGTTATTGTTGTTGTTGTTGTTCTTTTTTTCATGCACCTCTTTTGATACCCTTTGGGCCGATCTTCTCGGCAACCACTACCACCCCCACCAGATACCCTTAAGCAAAGTTTTGTTTTTTTTGTTTTGTTGTTGTTATTCTGAGCATCACAATGTCATTATTTTTTGTTACCACTGGCACCTTTTCAAAAGAGAAATCTTCCTCTTTCTCTTCCTTCTCTTTCTGCCTTCGATCACCACCAGCCTTACTTGCTTTGTTCCTTCAACTGATAATTTTCATCTTTTGTTGCAATGCCGCCGCCTCCGGCCCCAGCCCAAAGAACTACCACATTGGCGCCGTGCTCAGCTCCATCGACCACGTCAATGAGTTTCTGAAGGTTTGCAAAAAAACTCATCATCACACTTTCTAATCTCCCCTTTCCCTTTTCCTCCTTCTCCTCAGGTCATCGAGAACATCAACGACGACGAGGACCTGCACTCGCTGGGAATCCGCCTCCACGGCCACAGCATCCTCAAACAACGAGGCTCCTCAAGCAGCGCCATCGAAGACACGCGCAACTTCTGCCAGAATCTGATGGCCAACGAGGTCTCCGCCGTCCTCATCGACGACCGCCAGCCCGCCGAATCGATCACCTTCACCGCCTCCCTCCACAACATCCCCACCATTGGCCTCAGCAATCGGCAGTCGATCTTCAGCGACAAGAGCCTCTACGGGTCGTACATGCGCACGGCCAGCACCTACTCCCACCAGGCCGACGTCTGGGTGGAGCTGCTCACCAACCTCACCTTCAAGTGCGTCCACCTGGTGGTCAGCGACTCGATCGACGGCCGCAACATCATGACCCGCTTCATCTCCCTGGCGGAGGTGACCAACGAGTTCGACATTGAGTCCATCGTCGAGTTCAACTGGCGGCGGCCGGAGCTGCGGCCCGCGCTGGAGCGCATCAACGAGAAGAACAGCAGCTGCCGGGTGTTTGTCCTCTACGCGGACCGGTCCAATGCCGAGCAGGTGCTGGCGCAGGTCCTCGCGCTGAACATGTCCGCCGCGGAGAACGTCTGGCTAGTGTCGGAGCAGGCCCTCGCCGCCCCGAACCTTCCGGTCGGCTTTCTGGGACTGAGGTACAAGGAGGGAAGTGCCGGAAACACCGGAAGCACCGGAAGTGGAGGCGGAGGCGACCAGTCGAGCGCCGTGAAGGACCACATCACTGACAGCCTGGCGGTGATTGGCCGGGCGCTGGAGGCGATGCACCGGGCGGGGGCGGTCAACCGGACTGGTGGCTGGGCGACGCCCCCTCCAACTGACTGTCGAAACCTGGGCCGGCGGAAGTGGGCGGAGGGCAGCCTGCTGTACGACTACCTGCGCAGTACGACGCTGCTGTACGGCCGGACGGGGAAGGTCGCCTTTGACGAGCGCGGCGACCGCCTCTACGGCGCCTATGAGATACTGAACCAGCAGTACGACCGCCATGATCGCATCAACCGGGCGGCGACGACGCTGGTTCCCGTCGGCCTTCGCCACTACGACCTCCGGAAGATGAAGAGCGAAATTGTCCTGCTCACCGGAGGAGGAGCGGAACAGGCGGCACAGCAGATCATCTGGCCGGGAAATACGACCCGCCAGCCGGCGGGCTATGCCAGCCCCAACCACCTGAAGATTGTCACCTTGGTTGAGAAGCCCTTCGTGGTGGCCGTTCCGCCGCTGGATCGGCGAGGCCTCTGCACCGACGAGCAGATTCCTTGTCCTCTGACGAAGAGGAATCCAATGACCGGGGAGAAGATTGAGGAGGCGGCCTGCTGCGAGGGCTACTGCATCGACCTGATGCGCAACCTCTCCAAGGTGATGAAGTTCACCTATGCACTGTACCAGGTGGAGGACGGCCGGTACGGCAGTTACACGTACAACGCCAAGGCGAGGCGGCACGAGTGGACCGGCATTTTGGGAGAGCTCCACTACGGACGGGCCGATATGGCCATCGCCGCGTTGACCATCACCCCGGAGCGGTCCCATGCGATTGACTTTACGAAGCCGTTCAAGTACCAGGGCATTACCATACTGCAGAAGCGGCAGTCGATTCACCGGACCCGCCACCCGTTGACCTCCTTCCTCCAGCCCTTCCAGGACAGCCTTTGGGTGTCGGTCTTTGTGGCGGTTCATGTGGTCGCTCTGTCGCTTTACCTTCTGGATCGGTTCAGCCCCTTTGGGCGGTACAAGCTGCCCAACTGTGAGGCGATCACCGAGGAGGACGCGCTGAATCTGAGCAGTGCAATCTGGTTCGCCTGGGGCGTCCTCTTCAACTCGGGCATCGGCGAGGGCACGCCGAGGAGCTTCAGCGGTCGAGTGGTGGGCATGGTCTGGGCGGGCTTTGCCATGATCGTCGTCGCCTCGTACACGGCCAATCTGGCGGCTTTCCTGGTGCTTGATCGGCCAGAGCAGGCGCTGACGGGCATCAACGATCCAAGGTTGAGAAATCCCAAGGAGGACTTCAACTACTCCACGGTGCGGGACAGCTCGGTGGAAAATTACTTTCGAAGGCAGGTGGAGCTGGCGCCGATGTACAAGCAGATGGCGAGCATCAACTTTGACAATGCAGAGGCGGCCATTGCGGCGGTCAAGTCGGGTGAGTGAGAAAAGCGGTGTCGAGCTTTCTTTGAACTTTGTCTAATGTTTGTTAATGTTTTTGGGGCAGGCAATCTGAAGGCTTTCATCTGGGACAGTGCTCGACTTGAGTACGAGGCTTCAAAGGACTGCGAGCTGAGCATCTCTGGGGAACATTTTGGACGATCTGGTTACGCCATTGGACTGAAGAAGGGTGAGCTTGTTTTTGAGCTGAGTTTGGGGACCTTGTTTTAATCTTGTTTTTATCATTACCACCACCAGGCCAACCGTACTGGAAGGACAAGGTGACGCTGGAGCTGCTGAGCATGCACGAGGCGGGCTTCCTGGAGATGCTCGACAACAAGTGGCTGCTGCTGGACAAGAAGATCTGCCTGACGAAGATGGAGAACTTTCCGCCGACGCTGGGGCTGAAGAACATGGCCGGCGTCTTCATACTGGTGGGGACGGGCATCTTTGGCGGCGTGGCGCTGATCATGTTTGAGATCTTCTACAAGTCCCATCAGACGAAGAAGCAGAAGCGGATGGAGCTGACGAGGAATGCGGCGGATAAGTGGAAGACGATGGTGGAGGTAAGGGACAAATGAAGATGGGTTCTATTTTGTGGAAAACGGCTAATGTTTTTCTTTTGTTTACTTTTCATGATGTTTAGAACCGCAAAATAGTGCGCGCCTCAATGCACCGAGTGGCTCGAATGCGCTACCGAGATCGAGGCCACCAGCCATCTTCAGCAGGAGGAGGAGGAGGAGGTAGCAGCAGCCGACAGCAGCTGGGGAACAGCTCCTCAAAGAGCTACAACAGCGAGGACAACAAGTCCTGCTCGATCTCCTCCACGGAAACCGGTCCCACCACCTTTCACCTCTCCACGGAGAGTGCCAACATCATCAACAACAACAACAACGGCGGCGGCAGCAGCGGCGGCGGCGGCGGCGGCAATCTGCGAACTTCGCCCGGAACCTTCATGTCCACTTCTGGCCTGGGAAACTTTGTGACCTACAAGGAGCACCCTGACACTGCTACCACTACTGAAGTGAAGAAGCCCGTCTACCTGGAGCTGAAGCAGACAAACGCCCCCGCCAAGGAGTCCTCGATGTCCACCTTTAACATTGGCAGAAGTCCAAGTGGTGGTGGTGGTGGTGGTGGTGGTAGTGATCATGGTCCGCATCACCACTACGTTCAAGAGCAGCATCCTCGGGCGAGCAGTCGAATCTACCATCGCCAACAGCAACACCCGATTCTGCAGCAGCAGGCGGCAGAAGCTGCTGGAGCCGTATCTCCATCTTCATCGACAGGGTCAAAACCTCGACTTCGACGGGAGTACTCGGTCGCCTATGAGCCATCGATGGACGCCTAGAAAGAGAGAGAGAGGGCAGCGCCTGCCTCTCAGCACCACAAAAATCAGTTTCACCACTGATTTGAAAAGACGAAATCGGCTGCGTCCGTTTAAGAAACTCGTCAGCTTTTTATTTATTACAAATCTCATTAGCTACGAAACTTGAAATGCGATCAATTGGACATTAGGTAAAACTGATGAACAATTTTTAATAAACTAGAACATGTTGTATATCATTTTAAAGAATAAATCACTGGTTTTCAGATGGCTTAAACAAAAGTTACTTTAAGAATTAGCAATTAAACGAGGGTGTCAGATTTTTGGCCAAATCGGCCAAACCTGTAAGGCTATAAGGCTATATAGTCTTCAAGATTTTAAAAATCTGACCAAAAAAATTTTATTGCAGATTCTGACAGTACTTGACGAGAGAACTCCAAATCCGAAAGAGTTTTTGCTCGAGAACCACGGGAACATAATCAATTTTAATTTTAAAATTAATTAAAAAATAAATTTTAGTATCCGATGTTGGCCGCTGCAAAATGTGAGGCGCCACTAGCGCAGACGATTTTGGCG